AAAAAAACAGGTCCACTCAGATGATGCCACGTGTCTTGTTGAACCGTTTCAGGAAACTCTCCCCATTGAGACGGCTCAGACCAAAATCTCATCAATAATTAATTTTTTAATTAAAAAGTGTAATGAAACCCTTAGAGTTTTATGGATAATGATGCTCTAACATTCAGCCCATGATGACCTGTGCAATATTTTTTATCCTTTATATATTAAAAGAAAAGAATTGGAGGCCACTTTTGCTTAGGTGTCACTATCTCAATTTTTTCAGTTTTTTTTTAAATTTAAAATTCATTTTTTCCTAATACTAGTATACCATTTGTAAAACACTATTTCACTTACTATACCTATTTTAGTTGCTTTTAATTCTATTGCCAAACACGTAACAAACTTTAAAAAATATTTTTTCAACTCATTAATATTCTGAGAAATATACACTTGCATTCAAAACTATAGAGCACACTTCGTTTGACAATATTTTTAAAATATTAGAAATCCTAAAAAAAAAGAGAACAATCACATATGATTCAATCTTGAATTTTTCGATAACACATAGAACTTTGAACATTTTCAATTTTTTTTCTTCTATATATGAAATTTGATCATCAAATCTCCGATTACTGCATTTGTCACTGAAGTTGTCAAATTTAGTTAATATGATTATATAAAATTTAGAATACATTGCAAAACATTAACCATAGTTATTTTAAATAAAAAAAAATCGTATTTAAATACTCAAAATACCAAATTTTGTATATTATTAATATTCACCAAATAACTTACTTATCAGAAAAAATCCAAAGCTAAATATAACATTATGCTTACAACTATAAAGTTAAAAACTGAATAACAAAAAAAAAAAATCAATTATCTAAACAAAATCAAGCAGACGTTACCAAAATATAGGATGTTGTTATATGAATAGATTGTAACTAAAATTTGTAGAAGCTTGAAAATAAAATCTAACAAGGAAACCAAATAAATAGGAAAAAAAATAGATATTAAATGATTGGGAAGTTCAATTTTTACCACTCTTTCTTGTATCAAATATTTGATTAGTTATAATTATTCAAATGAATCTAAACATATTAAATTTTCAAAAATATTAGTAGATAGTATTCATTCGAATCGGTAAATCTCCATTAATTATAGGTGATATTCAAAAGACTAGCCTAGGTTGAGACAATGCTACATGGAGAGTTGGACACTATAAAATGAGTGTTATGCCACTCTAATTTCCATAAAAAAAAAATACTACCAAATTTCTTCACCACACATAGTTAAATAAACAAAAATCTAACTTAGCAAATGACAACTATCACAGATTTTTATTCATTGAAACCCTTGCCGATTTTTGTTTTTCTTATTATGTCGTTCATTGGTTACACTTAAATTGGTATAGAAGAAAATATATTTTCAACTACCACAGTGAAAATATATTGAAAATTTTCAAAAAAATGCCTCTTTTCAAGTATCATTTTTCAAAAATACCACATTTTCAAAATCTTTGCAAAAATGCCAATTTTATAAAAAAAAAAAATTTCATTATATCATTTATGTTTGGGTTAACTATGTTGTATTAGAATTTAGTTTTGAGGGTTTAAGGGGTTTTAGGGGTCAAAACATTTTTTAGGGTTTATAATTTTAAGATTTAGGTTTTAAAAATTTATAATTAATGGCATTTTTACAAACGGATGGACACCCCTAAGTAGCATTCTTGCAAATATACACACCAAAAATAGCATTTTTGCAATTATCCCAAATATATTTTGGTAATCTCTTCTCGATCTATTGTTTTTGTAATTTCTATAATCATATGCATTCTTTGTATTTGTAATCAGTAGTATAGTTCACCAACTTTCAATATTAGATTCATGTAGTTTGCTTTTAAAAAATACAGTAGAATGTGTACTTTAAGTTATTTTATCTTAGTCATGATATTTTTCCTCTTAAATTGATAGGATGACAAACTACAAACATTGTGAATCTTTATTGAATTTTATAATTTTTTAAAAGACCATGAAAATTTCAGCAACTATTTTTCACGATTTGCAAGAATCAAATGTGAGCATCCATACAATTCATTTACTTTTTTTTCATTCTATGTGTTATAAAAGAAATAAGATTTTGTCCAAATATTTGTTATAATTGCAGGTTCTAACTAAATATTTGTTTCGGATTGGAAACTTTCAACTACTTTGTCTTCGGAGCATAAAAGGATTTTGAATCTAGTATATTCTAACTTTTTCGACATATAAACATTTAAATCAGAATACATACAATGGATCTCAAATTTGT